AATATAAAGAAGACAGAAATCCTCACAACTGGACCAATAAGCAGCATCACGATAAATGGAGAAAAGATTGAGGTTGTCAAAGAATTCACATTGCTTGCTTCTACAATAAGGCCAATGGAAGGAGCAGTCAGGACATTAGATGACGTGTAGCACTGGGTAGGTCAGCTGCAAAGGAACTCTTTCAAGTGCTGAGGAGCAAGGATGTCTTCTTGAGGACTTGCACCTGACACAGGCCATGATATTTCCATTTGCCTCATATGCATGTGAGAGCTGGACAGTGAATAAGGAAGACCAAAGAAGAGTTGATGCTTTTGAGTTGCAGTGCTGGTGAAGAATGCTGAAGGTACCATGGACTGCTAAAAGAGCTAACAGATCTGTTCTGGAAGAAGTGCAGCCAAGATGCTCCTTGAAAGTGAGGATGGCCAGACTTTGTCTGACCTACTTTGGTCATGTTGACAGAGGAGACCACTCCCTGGAGAAGGATGTCATGCTTGGTAAGGTGGAGGGTTGACGAAAGAGGGGAAGGCCTTTGACAGGATGGATTGACATGGTGGCTGAGACAATGGGCTCAAGTATAGCAAGGATCATGGAGCTGGCGCGGGAGCGGGCTGTGTTTTGTTCTGCTGTGCATGGGGTTGCTGTGAGTCGGAAGCAACTCGATGGCATCTAACAACAACAACATTACTTTGGAGTCACATTGGAGCCTGGTGAAACTGCTCTGAATATTTTTGAGCATTTTTCATTTTGTTTTGTTTTTCACAATGCTCATGTTGGGCTGGGTCCCTTCATCCTGACAATAACAGAAAACCTGTTTCGATCTTGTATCCTTTCAAACTTCATCTGTACTATTTTTCTTTGTGGTATGAGTTGACTAGATAATTAGGTTTCTGACATCTTAAAACCCTCAAACCAGTTTTGTCATCTGAGTTACCCAATAGTCTATATTTTTTTAAAACAAACAATATTGAGTGCATATTTTATGTCATGCTAAGTGCTTTATATTTCTTAATTCATAACAATTAACATAATGTTCATAATATGAATATTAAAAATCTGTTCATACAAGTCTTATGAGGAGGTACATTACTATTCCTGGTTTACAGATGAAGAAACTATCAATTTTTCCTTCTCTTCTGGATTATTCCCTTTAACAAAGTTTTTTAAAAAGCTGTTCTTCTCAAAAAAAATTGCTCTTAACTGAATTTTCTCTTTCAACTAATACCCTCTTCCTCTTCTGCTCTTGACAATAAACCTTATGAAAGTTGTCTGTACTCTCTCAAATTCCTCGTCCCGTTGTCTGTTAAACCCACTCTCAGCAGGCTTTCCCTGCTACCACTCCTCTAAAACTACACTTAAGAAGGTCACATAGATTCTCCACATTAATAAATCCAAGCTACCGTCACTTCTCACCAGGATTATTCTGCTAAGTTTCCTTGCTCCTGCCTTTCTTTGCCCACCTACACAACTGTAGCCGTGGTGGGTTTTTTTTTTTCATGTAAACAAGCCAAAGAGAATTGAAATTGTGTTTGCATGAAAATGTATGCACGAGTGTTCATGCAGTGGAATATTATTCAGCCATGAAAAGGAATGGCATACTGATATATGCTACAACATGGATGAACCTTTAAAATATTATGTTAAATGAAAGAAGCAAGAAACAAAAAGCTATATATTACATGATTCCGCTTCTATGAAATGGCCAGAGTAGGCTAAACCCATGAAGACAGAGAGTAGATTAGTGGTTGATATGGGCTAACGTGATAGGAAAATGGGGAATTACTAAGTAATGAGTATGGGTTTCTTTTTGGGGTGATAAAAATATTCTAGTATCAGTGGTAATGGTTTCACAACTTTGTGAGTATACTAACAACCAGTGAGTTGTGCACTTTGAGATAGTTAAAATGGTGAACTTTATGTTATGTGAAATTTTACTTAGACTATAAATGGGATCATGTTACTCTGCTCAAAATCTCTAATGCTTTCCCATTTCTTTAGTAAAAGCCAAAGTACTTAGAATGACCCTCAGGCCTCCATTACCTCTTTGGCCTTATCTGCTGCTGTTCCTCTTACTCTCTACTCTGGACACAGAGTCCTCTTGCTGTTTCTTGAATAGGCCAGACATGCTTCCCACTCAGGCTGTGAATCTTCTTTGCCTAGATAGTCCCTTGGCATACTTCCCAACTTCCTTCAAGTCGGCTTCACCTCAGTGAAGGTGATTACTACATTTAAAACTGAAGTATTTGTTGAGGTGAGAAGGCACAGAGAAGCTTAAGAAACTTGCCCAAGTCACACAGCTGCAAGTAGAAGGGTCATGTATCACACATGGGCAATGTGGCTTCAGAGTTCAGACTTTCAACCACAGTGCAAGGGAACTTACTAAACTACACTTCTCTGTATTTCTAGTATACCACAGAAATCTATTTTTTTCTCTTTTCATGATCAAGTCTGATGATTTAAAGAAAAGAAGAGAGCCTCACATCACTGCTTTAAGGTAAACAAGTCATCATGTTTGTTGAGTGTCTAAAATGTGCCAGTCATGTTTGTTGAGTGCCTACTATGTGCCAGGCAGAGTGATGCACACTTTAAATGTTATGGCTTATAGTCTTTGTTGACCTTATATCCATTTTGTAGAAGAAACAGCTTCTAAGAAACCAGGTAATTTCTTCCAAGTTTACCCATTGTCTTTAAGTCAATTCCAACTCATGGCCACCCTGTCTATGTGTGTCAGAGTAGAACTGTGCTCCGTGAGTTTTCAATGGTAGATTTTTTTTTTAAGAGTAGGTCGTCAGACCTTTCTTCCCAGGCACCTCTGGGTGGCCTCAAACCTCCATCCTTTCAGTTAGCAGCCACGTGCATTGACCATGTGCACCACTCAGGGACCATTCTTAAGAATACCCAACTGAAAACTGAGGGAGTTAGGGTACAAACCCAGGTCTGTGATACAAGGCCCAAGTTCTCAATGATAAAATATTCAACTCTTGTTAGCAATCGATGAAACATAAACTAACACTGGAGATACCATTTTTCACTGTTAGGTTGTCAAATACTAAAAACTAAAGCCTTAGGTTGACACCTGATACAGACACCTTTCTATACTGCTGCAATCTTTCTTAGAAGGTGATTTTGAAAGATGTATCAAAATCTTAAAATTATATGTCTTTTTGTAGAATAATTCCACTTAGAATAATTTATCCTAAAAAAAAAGGATGCGCTTCAAGATTTCCCTACAAGATTGTTGTAATGTTGTTTATAATGGTGAAAAATATATTCAAATTAAAGGGCCATCCCGCTGAGATTTAGATAAATAATGGTGTAAAACAGAAAGTGGAAAATTATACAACCATTAAATATGTGCATGGATTTAAATATATGAATATGGTGAAGTTCTAACATATTTCATCAATTCTAAGATATGTAATGCTGTTTAACATTTTGCATTCTCTGAGATCCATGTCTCCCACAATGATTGTTGTGTCATAGTTTAATTGGCAACATATTTTTTTCTTAGTGATATATAAAATGATAGTATGATCAAAGGCAGCTTAGATTTGATGAAACATATTTTTGTCAAGAGAAAAAAATTAAAAACAACATGCACAGTATAATCCCATTAAAAACATGTATTTGGATACCCATGCATATACAAAGAAAAAGACTTGGAAGCTCAGACTGTTTAACTCTGGCTGGTAGGATTAGAGATTTTCTGTTTTTAACAGTTTCTTTTTACTATGTAAGATTTTTTCCTGTTTTCTCTGCAGTTAGCCCATGTTGCTTTGTAATAGTTACTAGTTTTTAATATACACAGTGGGAGCTCTGGTAGCTTAGTGGCTAAGACACTCGCCTGCTAACCAGACGGCTGGCGGTTCAAACCCACCAGCCACTCC